ATTCTTTGTCCCGGTTGCCAGCGGACAGAGGTGGCATAGATAGTGTCCGTCGTTGTTCTGGTAATCTGCTGTCGGACGGCCCCCAGAAACATGTTCAGCATCGTTCCATGAGTACATCATGACCATTAATAGGTTATTAGGTGATTGAAGAGAAAAATACTGACCTAAAGCAGGCCCGGGAGCCCTCATCGCGGTGTATGTGAAGAATCGGACCCAACAGTGCAAGGGTGGCCGACTGTGGGTGGAACAGTTGATCCTCTGGCCGGTCGAACGACGGACCAATGTGCGGTTCTGGTGGGTTCGTGAGAGCTCAGAAGGCGGGACGGTGGAACGATGGCCGAGCCGTCGTTGAATCGTTGATTCCTGATTGTGTCGACACTGGAGTCTGACTGACAGCTGTGGCGGGTTCGTACGTTCTTTCAACTTCTTCGTGACTTCAGGCCGAGAATCCCTCCGAGTCGCGGCAGTTCGTAGGTCCTTCGTGATTTCAGGCGGGGATTTGTGAATTTCAGGCCGGGAATCTCAGACGCGATTACCCCGACCCTCAAGTTTCAACGCCCAGGACACCTGAGGCCCAGCCGCGCAGGGGCCATAGCCCTCACCGATCCTGCCAGCTCTGTGACGCCTTCTTAGCGACCCGGCCCCTGCAGTCGCAGACGCCATCTCGTGACGCAACCGAGACAGATGACGCCTCCGGTCTCCAGGCGCCTCGGGCATCCACTTCCTCCTGGCGCAAGTACGACGACACCGCGGCCAGACAGACCTCATGTCGTCGGTCGACCGCAGGGATCGCCCCCGGCACGCATCTAGTCAGCGTCGCGCCGGGACGGCGGTCGAGCTTTCTTCGATCCGCCCCGCTGTGTACTGCGTGTCAGCACTTCCTCATGAGTTACTGAAATGCTCTCGTCTCGACCGGCGGGCGCGGTGGGACTTGTCGGAGTTGCTGGCGTATGAAGAGAAGTATTTGCCCACTTTTGGTAGTTTTCACTAGACACATCTTTGGATAAGGGTAGGAGAGACCTAAAAATTGGATCGTGATCGCTAAAGTAAAATACGCAATACTCTGTGTTGTCGGTGATACAAAATACAAATTGGATTGGCTTGCCACACAGAAATAGATCACCTTAAGTTGAAGCATTGTAGAATTAAAAAGTTTAACATTAAACCTCAAACCATCTCATTCCACAGGTACCGCTACTAGCGATGTCGCATGAGACATTAATTCTCCTACTGACCCTGGGTTTGGGGGAAACTACAACTTTTTGCCCCCTCTTTTTATAATATTTTCATTCTTTTGTTCCAATCCTTCCCCCTCCATGCTTCTCAATTTTCCGCTTTTCTTCCACTTCTTGTTTGACTTGTCTTTCCTCATCCGTTCACCAAAGGCATTGCCTTTTGGATCATTTTGACACTGCCCCAATTCTCAAGACGCTGAACTTTCACCCAGTCACTAAAGTGCGGTTCAATTTTCAACACAAAGAAATATTTGTTTCTTAATCCGTCAACTGCAATAGTATGATCACCTCTCTACACGCATCACAGATTCTGCATCTTGAGGAGAACATCAGTCGACCTGGATATAGATTTGTAAGATCAGATCATCATTATCCTGTTTCGTTTCTTCAATCACTAAACGGGATGACAAAACCGAAAAGGAGCCTTACATCCCGCAAGCACATTTAAACATACGTGCGGCATGTGACGGGGTTGGATGCTGGACAAGATCCCAACATTTACCACTCCCGACAATCAGCATGGAACCCCCTACCTGCCTCCCTCTCACCCCAATAATAGAAGAATCCTTACTCACGAAGAAATCTGAACAGGTTTTCTGATCAATAACACTTTTTGTGTGATCGGATTCGGAGACGAGTTACACTCGTCGGCAGGTGATTTCTTAGGCCCATTTGAGCTTAGCCGCTGCAACCGATTTGTAGATACACATTTGGTTCCTTGACAATAAACCACCGAGTCCGGCGCTGAGTCACAATCAAACCATGGGGCCGAGTGCTACAGCGCTACTTTCCTGATTCGGAACAGCAGTTGGTGCAGTCAGATGGTTTCTTGAGGATCTACGTTGACACCGTCTCTAGGTGGATTTTTTTATTTAAGGCGGCTAAAAGAACGAAGGGAGACCCTTTCCGTCTTCTTCAGTCCTTTGTCTCCTGATGCTTCTATTCTTGAACACTTTGCCCCAGAGTGTAATTAAAATTGGAAACAAGGAGTCATATGAACACTTGCCTGTTCCAGAAGTGCTGTTTTTGAAATCTTCTGAGGGCAGATATTGCCACTTCCAATGTAATTTCCAAGTCTATGAGAGAAGACTATCGTCAGCAGCTGCGTTTTCCAATTTCTGTCAACGAGGATAGTACAATCACCTTTATGGGAGGGTTGTGAGTTTCAAGAAGGAAAGGGACATCAGAGAAAAGTTGTGTTGGCAGAGAGGCAAAAATAGCCAATTCATGCGGAAGCTATGATGATGGCAAATGGGACAGTTCTTGAGCAAAGACAGGCAAAGAGTTTTCATTTTTGGCACAGGGGAAAATCCAAAATAAATGCATTTTTTGTCGAAAAATCATTTGATCAAAAATTCATATTCAGAACATAGATAAACACTTGTTGCAATTCAGCGGGCGGCAAAGCCGCCCCTAGACACTAGTATATATATATATGAGAATCCATTACACAGAAGACATGCCTACGACTCTGGTCTTGTAGTTAAAGACATTTTTTCAGCTGGCAGATTGGCTAACGGTTTCGACTTTTCCCACTTGAGGCATGCGGGTAGAGGCTGGGCTTCAAACATCTCGTCGACAGGTGCAGTGTATTCGAAAGGATGGATCCGAACTACTGGGACTGCCGGCCACATGGGTATCATACAAATTTCCTACGCCGAGAATTGGGTCAGTAAGAGTAAGATGACTTGATTGGATATATTGGTGCCAGAGATTATAGCATGACTTCGGGTTTAACCTACATTTGGAGAGCATTGCGGATCGCAACGCAGTCCATCCGGCCATCCTAGCCAAGCAGTAAGGTGCTGAAGCTCCTTGGTCCACGTCACCACCTGTTCTCGTGATTTTTGCTCTACCAAGGAATCATTCAAGGAAGTGCTCCTCGAGTGGTGGTAAGAGTTTGGCAAATCCAGCTTGACCGCCTCCTCGAACATTTTGGCAACCGTTCCGCATAAGGTTTCCAATGTTCCTTCAATGGCTCCCATCAAGACTCGACTCGATTCCGTAAGATCCTCTCTCCCTCTTTCAGAGGTTGTAAATGCAATTTTACAATTCATAACTCCCACTTCCATCCACGAAAAATCGGTGCGGCTGAAGTTAGAGAAGTTGACGTAGGGCATGAGCATAGCGTAAGTCAATCTTCGAACATCCATGGCTTTCGTCGCCGCATTTCGCTCCCCATCTCCCAACAAGTGGCCCAGATCCGTTAATCGAGAACTGTAGCGTTGGATGACATTTCGAACAATTCCCTGCCAATCGGGGTCGTTCTGGTTCACTTCCCAGCCTTCAGAGTTTTTACGGGCGATGACCTTTTCAAGCCGATCGAGAACATTCCCGACATCTTCTTCATTAATACCATAAAGTCTATGCATCGATCGCTTGTACTGTTGGTTCATGGCGATCCGTTTTTCAGAAAGACTGGCAACTCTGTCATAGAAACTGATGAAGGAGTTTGCATCTAATTTGACCCGCGTTTCTCCAGGATCGTGGTACTGCAGCGTTGCCGCTCGTGTTGATTCCCAAGGAGCTTCGGAGAGTAAGGGTGATGATTTTACTTGAAAGACCGGATTATGCTGCGCTGGATACGTATCCTGATTTTGAAAGGGATCGGTAGTGTTTGTCTGTCTGATCAGGCTAAGAAAATATACAAACATCAGATTTTACCGCCACATTGTCCACGGAGTTTCTGATGACTTACTCCAACCCGTCTCCAAAGTCACACCAGATTAACTCAAACCCGGTGTTCATGCGCACAATTCCTTCAAAGCCAAGCCTCTTGCCAAGCTTACAAAGCCCTTCAGCTCGTTGATATTCACCATCCAAGATATTGAGCGGTCCGAACTCTTGGAGTTTCTCGGTGACTGTTCCATTGATTAAAAGACTTTGACTATCCATGTATCCGGCAGTTCCAACGGAAGCACTTTGACCGTCAAGGTATATGATTTTTAGAGGGCGCTGAGTCGAATAAGTGTATAAGGCCGTCTCTCCCTCTCTGACGGCGTGAACCGAGTAAGCCATTTCTGGATCAAACGAAAGCCATTCCATACCATTGGGAGGAATTTCTTGTTTGTTTGCGCCATGATACAATAGTGTTCCACGCGGAATTACTCCAGCTACAATCGAATGACCTCCGGGAAAGATACTGTTTGGCCATTGATGAAGGAGGCCGGAGAACGAAGCAAAAATCAGATTTGAAGTATCTGGTCGTGATATTATTGGGCCGTGGGTGGCTTCCTGTGTTGATTCGAATAAGAGCTGTCCTCGAGGAATGTCGGACAGTAGGTTTGAACAAAAGGCGATTGAGAGCAGAAAACTAGCAAGATTGCTAATAACTTGGCGGTTCGAAAATCCCATCTTCTGGTTCCACTACTTTGCATTCAACTACATATAAGAAGTGGAGATGAGGAATCTGGTCCTTGGCCGCTGATATGTTCATACCATCGTGATTTAAAACCTCCCCCTGTACTTCCAGGATGGAAGTTGTCAGTTCGGTAGATGCTATGATGTGTACCCAGGTCAAGAGACTCATGATTGATTCGAGATAGACGTAGCTAGTGTATGAGCGATCCCAGGGGACTAGCGTCAGCCGATCCCTGCGTTTGCAAAAAATAAATATGTATCAAGGACAGGCTTGGTCAAGCGACACCCCCTTTGCTGGAAAGAGGACTATCCCAAGATTCAGCCAAGCTCCTTCTCCCAACCTAATCTCCACCGACAAAAGGGGACTATGGGGCACTTTGCAAGCAACAGCGAGCCAAATTCCTAGAGGGTAACAGACAGTCTTCCCAGTCTTCCCAATTTCCCTTCTCCCTGTGCTTCTGAAGTTGCCCCCCCCCCCCCCTATTCGTGACGACCCAGGAAAGATCAGAGAATTCATAGGGCTGTCTCCAGAGCCCTCACTCGTCCATAAATTGACACTGCGAAATCTCAATATCTCAGAAGAACAAGGCCAAAGCTGCTTAATTTTTGCTCAACTTGTCACTTTGTGCAGTACCGCTGTTTAAATGTTGTTAGCTGGGGTAGATCTTCATGTGAGTCTTACAGCCCAAAGAATTATCTCCGCCGAGTATATCTTCTCGACAATATTTCTAGAAAAGGGTGCTGGAAAGCTTCTCATGAACCCACCATACTAGACCATACTGCTATACTGTTGAAATTTTAGGCTGAAGCGCGTAAGAGGTTGAGGGCCAAAAAAAGAGTGTCTTATTTTTGGTAAGGGCTCATGAAAAAGGAGTGTAAAGAACCGATGATTTTGATTCACAAGTAGCTAGGTTTAAATAGAATAAATACAAGTGTGTCAAAATGTGGTTGGGAGAAAATTGAACAAAGGTTAGTTTATGAATAAAAAACTGAGAGTAAATAAGTTTATGAGTTCTTGGAAGAAACAATGTGACAGGCCTTCTCAATCTCTTTTAGTCATGCCAGAAGATGAATCAAGAGAAAACATAAGTTAGACCACAAATATTGGAAGGCATTAATTCTCAATAATCAGTTTTTAAAGAATCAAATATTGAACTAGAAAAAGAAAGAAATCAATCAATCAGTAAGACTAGAGTTGTTTGATGAAAATTGCCATGATGAGTTCTAATTAGACTACAAGAGAGCATAAGATTCAGAACAAAAAACAGCTATGATTGACTATAGTTCAGTCTAGGTCAAGATGATTCAAGAAGGAAAAAGGGGAAAAAGATAATGAGAAAGAGGAAGTTATTTTGGAGAAGAGTAGGCAAAGAGGTGAAAACTCAACATATACATAAGGTATTCTGCAACAATGTAAAAAATACTCCATGATAATAGGTATTTGAAGTGAAAATTTTGCTGTTTCTGTGCGGAAAGTAGCTCCTGGCTTCTGCCCATGTTGCCTCCACTAAGACTAAGTGGCCTTGATGAAATGATGAGTTTGACGCTGCGCTGTAAAAAACAAAATATAGAAAAAAACATTTTTGTAATGAAGAGAAACTTTCACTAGTTCTCCTGATCCAAGTCTATGATAGCCAGATTTAAGTAGACTAAATACAAGTGTTCAAAATGTGTTCAAGAGGAAAATGAATAAAGAATGTTTTTGAATGAAAAACTGAGAGGAAGAAATATATGAGTTCATGGAAGAAATAACCGGACAAGTCTTCTCAGTCTCTTCTAGACAAGCTAGTAATATTAATCATGAGAAAACATACACTCCACCACAAATTAATAAGAGTTGTTAATTTTGGACAATCAGAATAATGAAATAGAAAAATAAAGAGTTAAATCACAAAGACTGGAGTTGTTGATAAAAATAGCTATTGATAGTTCTAATTAGACTCCAAACTTCCAAAGAGGCATAAGATTCAACATAAAACCAACGGTGCCACAGATACGAGACATGTATTTGTATCGGATCGTATCGTATTTATTTTGAGCCTGATACCGGTATCAGTATTTCCTTGGTTGGTGTAAAAATACATTGTATCGGATTTGGATTTAAAAATGAAAAAAAAAAAAATTCGTCTTCGTTTTTTTCGTTTTTTCTTCAATACAGCCAAATATCTTATGTATCAAATACGGTTTTGGTGGGATCAGTCATCTGAGACGATACAGAATACATTTCTCACTTTTCAAATACGATACATGTATATGTCTCAGGAAAGTGAGACAACACAAATCTGGTATTTTTGGGTATTCCAATTCTGAGACGATACAGATAAACACCTGATACCGTATCGTATTGTCTCTGTGGCACCGTTGATAAAACCAGCAGTGAAGAACTACAATTCAGTCTAAATCAAGATGATTCAAGAAATAAAAAAGAGAGAAGAAAAAGGGGAAGAGGAAGTGAATTTAGGGAAGAGTAGGCCACAGAACAGTGAAAACGCAACACTTGATGACAAATATAATCTCATTTCCAGCAGAGTCTGTGTGCTGGACCCAAAAGCTGGTCTGTTAAAGTCCCTTGCTTTGGAGGGCCTGTGGAATGCCACTCACGAAAAGCGCAAGCCTCCAAAGGAGGGACTTAGGACAAAGACAAACATGCCCGCTGTGGAACTACTCTTGGGAGGAATAGAGCTTGAGAGGGATGAGTGCTTTATTGGGCTGCCTCTCTGATAACAAGAAAATATAAGAGTATGGACTCTTAAGGAAAGGTGTGGCTTTGGAGATTTCTTGAGGATGGTATGTCTAATATGTCTTATGTTTACTAGTCTAAATATACTTGTTCACAAATCAAGGTATCCCAAATGTTGATGGGCAAATACCTGGCTAATAATGGGTGATCAGTTATCTGAATTGCTGGGGCAGGATCTGATGAGGAACAAATGAAGGGGAAAAACAAAGCTCCTTACACCACAAACAATACCGATTTTGCCCCAAGGAAAAATGGCAATTTGGATGGTGGAAAATAGATCAATTTTCTGGCACCTTTTTTACAAGATGCCTCAGGAGTAAAAAATTAGGCTAAAATGAGCTATTTTAGCCAAAAAATAAAAATGTCTCAAATGAGCTAAAAAGACATTTTGGAATGTTTGATGAATTTCTATCTCTGGGCTAAAATAGCTCAGTTTAGCCCAATTTCTACTCCTGAGGCATTTTGGAAAAAAAGTGCCAGAAAATTGATCCAATTTCCCCCACCCAAATTGCCATTTATTGTTGGGGCAAAATGGGTATTGCTTGTAGTGTTATATACAAAATTCTGGGGAGTGGCCAGCTTGTGGTTGGAAGATAAGTGGAACATTCTATGAAGAGTATGAAACAAGGGAAAATATTTATCCAGAGAAAACAGGGGAAACAAGCAGTGGGAAAATGCACCCAAGGTTACTAGTATGAAACAACTAAGGGGGGAATATTCCATGGAAGAAAATAGGAGGAGATAACAGTTTCATGGGCAAGGGGATTGTTACTAGTGTGAGACACAGGAGAAAGAAGAATGGAATATGTTTGGAGGGGGATGAGTTTCAGGGTGTGGAGTTTCTGTTGGGATGGAGGGGGAAATTATGTTATCCATGTGAATTGTGCCTGAGGGGATTCATGACTGGTTTGGGGGTCTGGGGAGCTTTCTGGGGTGTCTTGATCCTGTGATTCCTCTGTGATTTGTACTTTTGATGTGCTTGAATTTTCAGGAGTGGCTTACCACACCGCGTGTCATGGTTGGGCACTTTTGGTGCAACACATATTGAGCTGGATGTACAGAATTTACATCATCAGCTATTGAGGATTTGAGTATACAAGCTTTTGGAGCTTGGTGATGCCTCTCACCTCATCCAATTTTCAGAACTTTATCTTGAAAATTGGATGAGGTGGATTTTTTTCAAGTTGGTCAAATTGAGAAAATGTTCTCACCTGGTATGCAGTGTGGTTGAAACTGGCTTATGTAAGCTCATTCAACTTTTCATTTGGCAAATTTTCCTTAAAAATTGTTCAATTGTGTAGTTTTCAATTTTTTTTCAAAAATTTCTTGATGGAAGTCAAGACATCCCACCATGTTGGGCATCTTCAGTCCACCTCAGCTTTCAAGAAATACACAAGCTGGATTTTCTATGATTTTTGGTGCAAAAAACAGCCAAAAAAAAACTTGACTGTGACACCCAGGCGCGTTCATTTTGGGCTCAAGCCTCTCCCGCACTTTGTGCGCTCGACGGAGAGGCTGCACAAGCTCGCCCTGAAATGGGAAATTATTCGAGCGTAAAAAAGCCCGCGAGCACCCGTAGGCATGAGGTGCAAGCGGGGCTTATGCCTGACCAACACAAGTCGGCATGAGGCTATGTCAAGAATAAGCGGAGGGATTCTTTTTTTCAATTTTAAAATCATTCATTTTTTTATTGCTCTCATCGTTTGATCCCAGCTGAGAGCTGGTATGATGTCCAGAATCCTGCCGATTCAGTTTCCTCACAGTATCTATTGTAATTTTTCTATCTTTTTTTGAAAACATTCGATTCATATAAGTTTCTCGGTCCGTTAATGTTTTCTCTATCAGCCAATTAAATTTTTAATTTGGCAATCAACCGTTGAGAGATAATGCCATACCCTCGTATGAAACGGAACACATGTGAAAGGTTTACTGGGCATGAACATTGGAAAAAAAGAGACGGGCTGTGAAAAACAGAGCACTCCAAAAAAAGGCATGGCCTTGCTAGCCAGCGGCCTTGGAAAATCATGAAACTCCAAGTTTCATGAATTTGTTTTATCATAGGGGGATACATAAGTAAACTTCTGAATTGACAGTTCCATAGAGAAAAATACAAGATTTAAACTATGAAGAGAAAAAAAAACTCATTGAAAACTAAGGGCTGTAGGTGCTCACAGCATCGACTGCCACCAAAGCTTGCACATTCCCTCAAGCAGAACCGCTTCATTATTCCCAAGTCCTCTCCCTGCGGGAGAGTCCCTGGTGCTTGCACACTCGACAAGCGGCTACAGTGCACCACGCCGCAGCAGGGACGCGGGCTTGTGTTAAGTTCGGAAATTATTCAGCTTGCAAACTTTCTGGGCACTCTTGTCCCACTTAAAAAACCCATGTGGCATACCAAATTTCCACACTTCTTTTTGAGTGCAACTATATGTTTTTGTTGGACTATCAGATTTGAGGCTTGCCCAAGCTCAACCAATCACACCATTCCACTCATAATTAATGACACTGAAATATCTGAGTTAAGTTTCATCCTCCCTTTGCCTGTTTATCTGCTTCTTTTTGTTGGCCTTTATCTGCTTCTTTTTGTTGGCCCTGTTACTATGTAGACACCAGCTTAATGTGGTTGTATGGGCCTCGGTCAGATATCATAAAAAATAGAATGTGGTGAGAGCATTGGTTGTGGGGTGGATTAGTTTTTGCTCTTTGTGAGCATAAACCCCCGAAGTCCCGAGCTCGGGGGTAGAGCTTGCAGGTGCCGCGAGCCCCGGAGGGCTTCTGACGCAAGGTTGACTTTGCAGGGAAAAGAGGTTGACAAGCCACAGCAACAACCACTCGACATCGAGGCTAGCTACATAGAAAGAAGCACAGAGAATCGGATTCAATGAATCGAGGATGACTTCGAGGATGACGATGTTGACCATGGGACCAATCGGACAACTCTTTGGCCTATTTTCCATTCTCTTGCTTGTCTTTCTTCTTCGGCTCATCCATCTCATTCGATCTACCCATCAACTCCAATCTCGTTCACAGTCGTCTGGTCGATTACAGACATGCAAACTCACCATCCTCCTGGGTAGCGGTCAGTAACGCATCAATCTAAAAATCATTCATCAGTCAAACCATCTAATCTACATATATCCAAACCCCTCTTCGAAGGTTAGGAGGCCACACGGGCGAAATGATTCGATTACTATCAGGGCTTCCGTTCGATCGGTATACTCCAAGGACCTATATCATCTCGTCAGGTGATTCATTGAGCAGGTTCAAGGCTCTGGAGCTCGAACGACTCAAACAAGCCGGCCAAGTTAGTCTGCGGATTTCATCTTCAAGAACTCAAACACTCTTACCCACCAGAGTCAGACGAGCTTATTAATGTTTCGTTTTTCTTTCTTTTCTTTCCTTTTTTTTCGTCCGATCAGTATGAATTCCTTGAGATTCCGCGTGCCAGAAGAGTCAATCAATCCTTTGTGACAAGCATATTTACAACGATCACCTCCTTACTAGTTTGCCTGCGGTTTATTTCGATTAAACCCAACTTCTCACCGTGCTTGGTGACCCCACAAGAAGACAGCACAGATGAACAGGCCTGTTCATCTGCAGTGATATTGAATGGGCCCGGCTCAGCAGTGCCGATCGCCCTGTCGGTCTTCTTACCTAGGGTGAGCAGTCCTACTTTTAAATCAACCAGAAGCATAGCCGAGGATTCAGAGAGATATGTCAAGCGCTTTCAGTATCTTACAGTCGTTTCCATCCATTCGTAGTTAATCACAGGAAAACTTAAACCGCGACTAATCTACGTTGAATCCTTGGCAAGAGTCAAAAAATTGAGCCTGACGGGTATACTCTTGCTACCCTTTATGGATTGCTTCATCGTCCAATGGAAGGTTTTGCAGGCTGAGATCCATCGATCGAGGTTGTATCAAGTTCTCTATCGTCTCAAATTAGTTTCTGCCATTACATTTGATGGTTGGATGGTATAAGCAACACGATCACTTGTCCCCCTGTCATGTGCCGTTCCACTGGAGGCTGGGAGCATACTTGTTGACGCCCCTACAAACGAGTAAGTACTCTGTGGCCACGTTTTTGCATCCCTTCTTATTATCATTAATTTCTGTATTCGATATTTGTGACTGCATGGGCTGCGTGTCAATATTAGCGTTGAGTCTCGGCTACGATATCCAGTCTACAGGAGAAGGGAACCACGAACCCAAACACTGGACCATAGCAATCTATGGAATTCACACCATGGAGGTTTATTTTGCATGCTTTCAAACTCACATGCCTGGAAAAGTATTGATTGTATTGGTTTCTTCTTCGAGATGTAAAAAGTGAACCAGATGGCGCTAGTTAACAAAATCTCTCAAATAGTTGGGCGCGTCACTAGTTGCCTCTTAGCATTTGCTCGTTCGGAACAGTTTTGGCTCTCGACCAGAAATGACAATGAACATCCTGGCACCAATTATCGGACTGACCGGCTAGTGAAAACATTTTCTCGCTCACACACCACTACTGTTTCGAAGTGACCTTCATACTCCGGGAGACTCTCACAAAGCCATCCTCATGGGGTTTGACTAATTAGTAGAATCGCGATGTTTCAACATAAGGGGGATCAATTGCAAATGAAACACATGTAGGCTATTCATCCACATGCTTATATGATGGGATATGATCAGAAATCTATGAGGAAGAGAGATTGATGGAAATCTGCTTTTCTTGTGTTGTACATAACTTTTTTTATTGATTTTTTTTTTTTTTTTTCGTTATGGGGGGAAGATAAAAATTCTCAGCCGGATGTAGAAAGGGAAGAACACGGAATTCGTGTGTGGATGTGCCAGATGCGCGGGAATGGGTATTGATTGATCTGAACAATTGATAGAAGCTAAGACAGCCGTTCGTCTGATCAAGGAGCTGCCAGGATTCCTGCCCCAGGATGAGAGTTTGCAAGCTCCTTGAGCTCTTTGAGACCCGAGATCCGTACAGCCTTTTCAATAGTACCCGGTTCCTTCTCGAGGAAAATGCTGTGAAAGTAATACGAATAATAAGTTGAACGGTCAGTTATTTGATGCGATGGTTAGGAAGCCCAACGTCTAGATAGTGCTGGCTTACTGGATCTGGTTCAAATGATGAGTTCTTTCAAATCAAAAAAGCACAACAAGCGAGGTATAGTAACGATCAGCACCTTCAGATGTAAAACGCTCCACCTAAATATTATGAGTCTCTCAGTTGACATTGACTCACCGAATCCATCGATTGACCCTGAACCAAACGAATCTGCGGCCTGGATACTTGGCTTCAATCATCCGGGTGATGTTCTGTACAGCCCATAGCATAGCCTCTTTCGCACGTTCGACGTGTGGTAAGTCGATCTTCTCAGCAGCGCTGGTGTCAACCTCCAACCCAGCAAGCAATTGCTCATTTTCCAAGTTCTTTGCATCTCTGTAGGCCTTTGCTGCCTTCTCCTCTTGTTCACCATGAACTAGTTTCTCCTGCAAATCAAGAGAGTCATTGACCTCCATGAGGTCCTTTGCAAATTGCAACTTATCTTCATCTTTCATATCAACGTTGGTTCCAAAAACATCGTGGCCATTGATGAATTCAATGTAAGGTTCCAGGTTAGCCATGAAGATTTCATGATCACTTGGGGGGATTTCCTTGCCCACTGGCTTGAAGCACTCCTTGGTGGTCAAAGGAGCTCGCAACCAGGCGATGACATGCTCAGTATCCTCGGGAAGCTTGACGGGGAATTCTATTCAGACCGACCGAAAAAAAAAAACAAAAAAACTTTCAGTCTGCCATTCAATGCTCGGGATTTATGTCCCAAAGAATCAAAATGACAAACTCACGCGCTCGCTCAAATTTAACCCAGTCTTCATTCTTCACTTGTCTCTCATCCATCATTATGGGTTCTTTATTGGCTGGATATGGCCCATCCCACTTCAGTTGTTTGGCGTAGTGATGTTCATACGATATCCCCTTCTTCCTTAACTCGGTTTGGAACTTGTGCCATTTTGACTGAAAATGCAGGGGAAGGAAACAGATTTAATTATTCTGGCTTAACTAATGACCATTACGGATCAGTTCGTGAGCCCAGTTGCAAATTACCCACTTGTACTTTAGACTCCCTTTGGAATAGAACTCCATTTCTGCCGGGTTAAAAAGGACAGTACATAGTATCAGCATAGGGACCGTTGAAAAACGTGAATGGATAATCCTTACCCTTGCATAACCGGAGAAAGCAGACCGTCGAAAGTCTTGGGGACCTCGTAGCTCGGCAATTGCTTGGCAGGAGTATTAGCGATCTCCAGAATTTTATCCTCGTCAGCATCGTGTACTTTGATATTGTCACTGAACGGGCGCTTGGTTATTCCGAGTGCTTGCATGCGGACCGTGCCGGCCGGAATAGCTTCCTCCGCGGCAGGAGCTACACTCAACACCTGTGAGGGGTGGCGGGCAATGGCTGCCTGGACATCAAGAGAACGATCAAAGACAAAGAGTAAAGCCACAAATGCTGAAAGTAGTTTGAAGGCCATGATGTCAAGCAGAAGCGAAGAATGATGATGGAAAAAAAGCTGACCCCATAATCACGATCAGAGCCTCAATTTATAGAAAACTTCTCCTATAGGCTATACCCCAATCTCACCCAGCGCCATGCGAGTGTAGAAACCAAGCTGAAACCGCGATGCGCCTGAGCCTTGTGAAGTGAGTGATCAATATGTCTCCTCGGTGTGGCCTCCGCCGTTTGCGGCAGGAGGATACTGAAACTTGAAGTCCTCCAAGTGACAACGATGGTCCGGCCAATGGATTAACGGTATTCGCAGTATTAAGGTATTAAGGTATCTAAACAACGCAAGGAGCAATAACCTCGGCCAACTGGAGTTGCTCTGCCGGTAAATGCATCAGTTGACCCAGGCCTCAATCACGACATTCGGATCTGTGCTCCGGCGATGAGTGCACCTGGCAGATGAGTTCTTACATCTCCTCGAAGCCAGTATGACAGCCTCTTGGGTTTTCTTCGGTGTTGGTTCAGAAGCCCACCAGTCATCTGCTCTAAATCCCGGCCGTAAACGTTTCTCATGACAGAGTCATACTCTCGATCCGACTGCTACTGCGTCCGACATATCAGCATTGCGATTGATCGTGACCCAACCTGGACTGTTTTTCCGCTCGGCCACTCAGAGTCACAAAACTACGTAGTGACAGTGTTATCGGCATCGCTTCAAGACAGCCCGCGTATGGACGATGGTACTACAACTACAGATTACCCAGCTAAGTAGAAGGATGCTTTGCTTCATCTCCAGATCATCCAAATTACCGGCAGGTTATCGGATGACATGACTATCTATCTGTCATTGGTCATCGCCTCGTTATGACAGGGAAAGATCTGATTGACCCTTGATACTTATCTAATCAGCTTTGTTTGGGTCTCCGGAGTCCGATCGTGCAATGTTAAATCGAAGTTGCACTTCAAAAAAAAAAAATCGACGGTATGATTCAATGAATCGATAGGACTTCCGCCTTCTCATTCTGAGGCTAAGCTTGGCAGTATAGCAGTTCCCGTCGGTTCTACTGTATACCAGGCATATGGAACTAGGTTAATATGCCATCTGTCGGCCACACATCTTCATAGCAGTTCCCGTTAGTTCTACCCGGTATACCTATACGAATTTAGGTTAATAATATGGCACCTGCCGGTCGTACATCTGGTTATCAAGTTATTTATGAAACCGACCCTCTCCCAGCAAGCGGTCATCGATTGAGGACAGTTAATGCGTTTGAACCGGGCCACATGAGATTGTGGCATCGAGAGGAAACATGAATATTATTTTCAGATGGAAACCTTGCCTCACACGAAGTCCCAGTCCCCTTGATCGATCACCTCCCGGGGAGGCCATTATTTTCGTACTGATTTTAGGAATCTAGACCCAGCGATGAGGTCGAAGCCTGGTATTTGGTGTGGATGGGCTTTCGCTGAAACTCTTGATGAGGATTTTTTTGGCGACATCTTTCCGGATGTTGCAGGATACAGGAAGGAAGCCATCTCATGACTGACAGATGGGGCATATCCCCAGGCCATGCAAATGTGGCAGGCCGATGAGTCAAACTCAGAGTCAGACGTAGCCAAGGCAAAAGGAAACAAGCTTGCGATTGCATAGCTGTCATCTTCTCCTCTCATCAGCATCTGCGCTCGGTGGGCTGGTTCCCGCGGGCCTCGAAAAACCAGAGCAATTAAAAACTCCCAACGTGCGAAGTTGTGGCATATACAGCTGTTCTAACTTAACAAAGTCTCTCCCTCCTACATGACGGAGTGGTGAGACACTGGTCGCATTGCGCCGACCGGAGGGAGGGACTTACAGCTTATACTGTAATCTCTGCTCTAGGCTATTTCAAGTTTTGCTGGGGAATATTTCCAAATGGAGTTTCCTCCTGGCCCCTTGGTCCCTAGCTAACCAGGTGGGCACTCCCATGACCGCATGCGCTGTGCCTTCCTGGATGTCCAGGTCTCATTGCTTCCTGAGCCCTCCCAGAGATTCTATCTGGAATCCAAGTTAGGGTTTTTCACCCAAGGAAGGTCAGTCCGGTCGAGAGTTGCACGGAGATCTTCCGTTTCTTCTCAGCTTGTTACATGAAGCAGATGGGCTGCATATACAGCCCCAAAAAACATCTCAAACATTCCAGATCTCTCTGGTCGTTTGGGCTGTTACAACGGCTGTTATGTTAGCCGAGTCCGTGATCTATAGGCAGAGGCCGTCATTGCAAACCTGGCAATTCGGTCAAAATTTGCATTCAGTCCTATATATATTTCATGTATATCGGTGGGGACAAGAAACACTTCACCTGATCATCTCCGAGCGAGTCCAATGGATTCAAAACCAGGACAACCGCCTTCGTCGTGTAGAGATTGAAGAACATCTCTGATATCCTTGTTTTCCCAAATCCAGTGCCGGCGCGCACAAAACAGTTCTCACCTCGAACCAGAGACAATACCGCTTCCACTTGCAGATCTTTAGGCCGATCGTGATAGAAATCGACCGAACTTCCTGTTATGTGATTCCTGAGCAGTTCATCCGGCAGATCGCGTATACTGTTCGGAAGCTCGACTGCTTGGCTCTGACGCGTGATCTTGACGGGCATTTCACAGTAGATTTTGAACTCGTTACTTAGATGACCCCGGGTTGTGATTTAGGAGACATAACAGCACATCTAATCGAAGATTTGGATGGTGGTCTGTCATGTTGAGTTTTTTTTCATGTATTAGAATTACAGTCGCGGCAAGTCTGAAGCACTGCATACGATACAGACAAGTCGTACAGCGATGAAAAAACATGAGAAAAACCTACAAGTCAACATAAGTTTGCAACCCGACAAGCTATAGAAAATTGGTATCGGCCAAAAGATGCGCAGGAAGGCAGCGCTTCTTTCCCTCCGCGAAAGCTTTTTGCCAGCATGAAAACTGACGGAGCTACAGTACAATGAATCCTAATTCTCATCATTTCCGATAACTTCCAATTAGGCTAGAGCGTGAATTTCTACCTAAGGCCTAAGTCCCTCCTTCGGAGGGTCCCTGCGGGACGGCAACATCCCCCCTCCGATTTCAGAGGGACTTTGATAAGTTAGACAGCTGTTGTGCAAATGATTGCGCTGATTTCTGAACTTTTTTTTTTTTTTCTCGCGCGCGACTTTTTTTTTTGCCCCGATCCTCGAAGCCCGGCCCCGCCTGTGCAAAGTACCGCGGAGCACACACCGGGTGAGACCACCCGATTTCACCCGATCAGCCGAAGTTATACATTTTTTTTTTCGGGATGAGTCGGTCATGATAATCGGTGGGTAATCTCCTGCAAATTTACCCGGCGGGCTCGGGGCTTCGAGGATCGGAGGAAAAAAAATTGTCTCGCGAGGAAAAAAAAAAAAAAAGTTCGGAAATCGGCGCAATCATTTACACAATAGCTGTACTAATCGGCGCAGCTCCGACTCGCCAACGAACGGCCAGAACTATGTATACCTGTCCGCTATGGGCCTATGGGGATATGTGCTCCTGATCCGCACTGCTTGTGTCGGAGATAATCAAGCTTGTTGAATATGCTATAGGAGGGCGGCACAGCTCCAACTCCGCTACCAGCGTGAGCGCGGCCTGTTTCTCATCGGACTGCCCCTGCACTGCAACGCTGAAGTTATGCCAGCGGCGGCCGGAGATGAACGAGCTTTCTGAAGAGGTTCTGCTCGACTCGAGTAGGAGTCCTCCGCAGCTTCGACTCGGCAGTCAAACGGTCAGCGCCGGCTGTTAGCCATCGAACTACTTCCTGCTTCAACCGAGCTTGTTCTCGATTTTCGAACATGGGGCCGTCGGCGCAGCTTCGGCCTCGACAGTCGTACGGCCAGCGCGGCCAGCCTCCTTTTTGGGATGCTCCTGTCCACTGGATCCTTAATTGCTCGTCTTCATTCCAACACCGGCCGGAGAAGTTTGAGCTTGCTGGAAAGATGTTGCGCAGCTGCCATTCGGCAGTCCCATGGTTTGCGCGATGGCAGCGCCGGACGGAAGCTGGCGAGCTTGTTGGAAACGAGCCGTGCCATAGACTTTCAACGCCTCATCATCAAGACGTGCGCGGTTTTCGGTTTGTTGCGAAAGCCTGCGTGCGTGTGTGTGTGAGGAAAGTCGCGTTCAGGGCCCTGCAGGTTGGTTGACCCTTTTCGGGACTGTGTTAGCTGGTGACGGAGATGAAGGCCGGATCGGGACGCAGTTTGACCGGTCGATTTGCATGATGTCTACAAACACCCCTAATACAATTCCTAAAGTCCACGAAAGCTCCATTTGATTTCCGGGGCCGTAAGGTATGGATGGACCCCTTTAAATCTGGCTCTAGGATCTACTCATGAAATTGAAGCCGACGGGGACTTCTCTCTTGATTGGACCCTACTTGAACATACATAAATTAAACTAGACAAGCAACAGATTGGGGCAGAGGCTTCTTGGTCAGTATATTGTAGCTGGCACGATGTGCTGCTGTCCATGCACACCAAAAAATAAATCAGATGGGTTCAGCAGGCCACGTTGAATGAAGAGGCTTGAAGCGGAGAAAATGACTACGTCTCTCTTGAAGGAAGACATCCAGCTGTATTTTGAAAAAAAAAAGGATGCCCTCCTTCACACATGTTCAACAAGTCTGTGATGGGGCTGATGGATTGCCATCCTAGGGCTGAATCTGGTTTCTTTGAAAAGTGCAACTGAGGTGAAGACTCATGCATTTTTTATTTTTTTTAGGGGGTTGGAAAAACGACTCCCAAAAATTAGTCGACGACTCCCGTTTTGGTCGAGGGGTCGTCGGCTGGGAGTCGTTCTTCCAAAAGATGGCCGACTTTGGGAGTCGGCCATCAAATGTTTTTTTTATTTTTTTAATTTATTTTTGGGGAGTCGGCGCCCCAAACCGCCCCTCATGCTTGAGGGGGTTTGGGGAGTCGTCGCTCCCGCTCCCATGACCGACAAGAAAAAGAAGTCTTATCGACCGGAAGGGATTCCTTCCGTCAATGAGGGTGTTATACCTCATCGACGGAAGGA